GAGAACGACATATAATCTGAGCCAGTGTTTTGCAAACCGTCAGAGGAGAGCAAATTTTAGACTGTGACGGCTTTGTCTCCTTCTAGCATCCCCTCGTTCGTTTCATTCCAAGCTATCCCTGGGGATGAATGCGTGGTAGTTTTCACGCCAACGCTTTTCCATTTTTACGCCAATTGTACCAAATTAATCGCAAAAGGCTATCGAACTAGCGAACCTGCCCGTCACCCAGGCCAAAACTTTAGTGCATTATTGCGTGACTTACGTATTTGTGCCGCTACCGTAATCCTACATTTGAAAGCCTTTGTAATCATCAGTTTGGATGAGCCTTAGTTATATTGCTGTCTCCTTTTCGACTGGGTTTTAACGGGAATCGCTGAATTCTTGTGAATGGCTGTAATATGTCCATTCTCAGTTTTAGCGATTTATCTCCGATACTCCACGACAAAGCTTTATTTTCACCTTTAACCCTACCAAAACGACGGAACGCTTTGTATTACCATTTCTCTCATTTTTAATCTTCTTTCTGTCATGTGAACATTCTGCACATCTTCATGCATACCACAGCTTGTACTACACTCACCTCATCTCCTCTATTCTTCTCTTTCCTTTTCTCTTTCTTCTATCTTTGGTTTTCGTTAGGGCCCATTTCATTGTATATGCTGTCAGGTTTTCATGACAGTTAGGGTGTTTTCGTAAACTTCCGGCTGTGGCTGAAAATCGTGCAGGGTTCTATACTCTTGTGCTGCATTTTCGCCCGTAACTCAGACCTACCTGTTTACCAATTTATACCGCTTTAGAGAAAATGGAACGTTTTCTCCGGCTCGGCGGTCTTGGAGGCGGAATTGGACAGGTATTTATGATACATTTGTCTTAATTTGTTTACCGGTCACAACGAGAGTTAGAAATACAGTAGTTCCTACTTATTCGGGACCGATTTCCTTGTCACCATTAAAAATCCGAAGTTTACTTTCTGATCAAGGAAAAAACTCATTTAGTTTGGTGGAGGACCGCCATCTGATTCCAATCAAGTGGATACTTCGGAAACTGTGTACATATCGTCGCTCGCTCTGCTGAAAATGCTCAAGCACGGAAGAGCCGGTGTTCCAATGGAGGTGCTTACTACTCTTATTTTTTTCATTGATGCTCAGGTCACAGGCACACATATGGTACCAAGTAGCGCTTTCAAGAGGGAAAAGAACAGAAAAAAAAATCGTCGGAAACGTCCTGAATGAGAGCTCTTTTGTTTCGCGCGTTGTACTTGCGCACAGAAAAAAAAGTGCGAGAGAGGGATTCGTGCCCGTTGTTCATAACGATATCAGCTCTTTACTCCTATCACATCACATTCACCATAAGGCTCAGTGACGTTTTCTATCGTATCCCACAGTTGGTTGCGATTGTAGAGAAGGGGGTCATCTAGCTTTTAGGGTGGGGTACACTTCACGTCACAATCACCTGGTGTCCCTTCCATACACCTTCATGTGCTGAAGCAGGTGTGAATGTAGGGAATGTCAGGTACTGAAATTGCAGGTGATGGGTCTGATGCTGGGTGAATTCGTCGACGAATACACTGTGAACGTCATCGATGTTTTTGCAATGCCTCAGTCTGGAACTGTAAGTCTTTGCATGCTCCTCCACATTTTGACAGCTCGAATTATCTGAGGTTTTGTGGGTCTAGGGAGTATCCGTAGAGGCCGTCGATCCAGTTTTCCAAGCTAAGATGCTGGATATGCTCAAACAAACCGGTCGACCAGAAATGGTGGTTGGATGGTGAGCTATTTGCTGTTTTTTTTAATCACGAGTACGACTTTTATTTTTCGAATTATGGGAATTCAGTTACTCAGTCAATGTTGACGTAGCACTGCCCCTTTGAGAGTACGTTCATACTTCGCATCGGCGTTTTGAGCATACGCTAGCGTTCTGAGCGACTAGGAAAATATTGATGCCGATGTAGGTTGAGCGTTTTCGTGGGCTCTTTTGAGCGTTTTCAGCCGTCGCTGAAAACGCAGGCGAACGGTCAGAGCGGTAAGATTAAGGTATGTTCTTTCTTAGTCGCTCAGAACGCTGATGGAAACAATGAACGTAGCCTGAAAGATCGACTTTGGACATTGTTTGACTTTTAATTTTTCATCGGTGCTCTCTTTAACAGGTATCACTCTCATCCTGGTTTCGGTTGCTGGCTTTCTGGTGTTGACGTTAATACTCAACAATCTTTTGAAGCTTTATCGAACCGAGCTGTTGCCGTAGTAGTCGATCCTATTCAATCTGTCAAGGGCAAGGTTTGTTTGGTCGTTAATATGCGCTGCTTTCACAGATCCAAATTAAGTTATATTTCGCTCATTTTCATGATTTACTTTGCTTATATCGTCATAGACGTAGAGTGAGCTAGTGGTAAGTGGCCCGTTTAGCAGTGTTCGCAGTCTGCCACTTTACGGAATCTTCT